ATAAGACTAACTAAACTGCTTACAGATAAGATAGATAAGACTCCTAGATAAGACTAACTAAATTGCTTACAGATAAGATAAGAGTAAGAAAATAGATAAGATAAGGATAAGGTAAGATGAACTGTGGCTAGCTAGATAATTTGATGAGGGTCCCACGTTACTGCTGCTGCCGGCGGCGGTACTTCTTCCCCCCGAATGCGTCCACAATAGGATGCTGGATAGCTATTTGATAGGGAGCATAAATTTCTAGGCTTAATTCTTGATAATGTTTTGGCTTTTAAGTGCATCCCAAAAGAAACAGTTTTTGGGCTTCTTGATAATGTTTTGGTTGCTATTTTCAAGCCTAAAAGCTTTTCTTATTGTCTACTGCAAAATGAAAGAAAAATTCAGTCTCAAGTAAGTTGAGATCCTAAGCAATTCAGTTAGTAGTAGTTGCAACCTGCAATTCACACTTGATGAAGTTATAGGTATGTACTAGTACCACAACATGCATATAACAATATGATTTTCCTTAGTATACATGGTACGGTCATAGTCCATCCAATTGATGGGTCAGTTATGACTTTCCTAGCTGATTTTCCTATACAGGTGCTTTCCTTGAGCTATCTAGAAAATATGGGAAAATTTTTAACATTACCACTAATTTCAATTGAAGTTCTAAATAATTTGCTTTAACTAAAATTGGGAGGAAAATTTCCTAAGTGGGTCATCTAGATTTCTTTTGTTGGTTTTCCAATCCAAATTACTATTTAGTAACTCTAAGTCCTTCTATTTATTGCATTTACCTCTCTCTCTCTCTCTCTTAATTTTCAAACATATAACTTAAAAGGATGACCTCTTTAAGTAGAAGTGATCATTTCATGGAAATTTGCTCAACAGTAAGGTTAATTAACAGATGAAATGAAGACATGAAATCCTAAAGGCACATTATCTAGCATGTGAGATATCGAGTTCTTATGGTTTTTGTATGTCTAATAATGTTGAGGTGCAAAAAAATAATGTTGAGGTGGTCTTTTTGCATGGTGAGAGAGAGAGAGAGTTTGGAAGCTGAATTTTAGTTTTGCAATGACAAAGGAGCTGTCATTACCATGTGAACAATGAAATGATGAAACCAAAATTTGAATGCTCAATGAGTTGAAAACTTGCAGGTATTCAAATTGCACTGATGCTATGCATTTTGCCATTTCAGCAAAGATACCAGAGTTCAACAGCAAAAATAGAGTGTCATGTTAATGAGTTGCAACTTATAGCATTTTCTCATTTTTATACATTTATTCTTAGATCATATGCAACTTATAGCATACTGGTTTCAAGATTAGTAGTAGCATATGATGAATTGAATGGATAATTATATCAGATTTTTTGGAGTTTGATCTTAATTCAGTTTGCTTTTTGTTGTTTTCTTTAGTTTTGCTTTTTTTTTAT